CAAGATTAACCTGGTGCAAACATATGGAAGGAATCTGTTCCAGACTGCATTTGCCTTTTGCCGAAGCTCAAACTCTGGCACAGGATCAGGAACGTTGGAAGCACTGTCTGTCGCGTCTGGCGCGGCGATGGAAGATGAAGATGGATTGAAATGATTTCATATTGTCTAATGTAATCGTAAAGTAGGGATGCCTCACAATGAACGAGGAAATGCAATTTTGTAAAATTCAAGCGGCACTATTTAGCTATGAAAATCGACTTCAAACGAAGAATACGCAACGCACCAAAAAAGACCGATTGTAGGCAGCATGTCACGATACAACGGGCATAGAAAACCATCAAAACAGAAAAACGGCTTTGTGAAGGTCAAACACGCAAGCGAACGAACGAGCGAGCAGTGATGCGATAGCGCTAAAAAAGTACGGCAGGCAGCCGTCGTACTGACCAACCATGAGGGTAGCGCTTGACCGACATGTGCTGATTTACGTGATGTGAGGCGTGTCATCCGCCTAAACCTGTTAGCGAAGGTCACGGCGTCGCTGAAAGCCGGTTTGCCACGGCCGGGTGCGGATCAACGAACACGCCGCGCTGCCGGATGAGCGTCGTTGCAGTCCTGCCGCTGCCGCTGCCGCCGCCGCCATGGAGGAGGACATCACCGAGAATTACGGCTACGCGGTGCCAGTCATCACCATGCTGATCGTCGTGTTCGTGGTAACCACTCACATCCTGCTGCCACTGTTCATACCGTTCACCGTGTTACACCTGTTCGAAAAGTATGGCATTGTCAAGCTCGGGCCGAGCGCAGAAGACGACGACTAGCCGTTAAACACTTGCCTTGCTCATGGGACGTTTGATGGACAACATAGTAGAAAAGTCGAAGCGCAATCAGTAAAATACCGAAACAAGCGTCCTTCGTTGTGGCAAGCAGCAGCACTCAATATATGGTAAGGTTTCATGTTCATTACAGAAAAAACCTGAAGGGCTGCGTGAAGACGACGACGCTCCGTCAAGCATGAACCGTGAAATTAAATAAAAACGCATTCATTTCGAGTTGATTTCCGCTATTTCGTATTGTAGACCGATGAGCTAATGAATAAATACGATTTGTAGCGCGAGAGCCACGAAATCAGTACCAGATAGATTCGTCCGTGTCTGCTCAGGGCGAATGTGTATGGACACCACTTAAATCGCGCGCAGTGAAAGATGTCACAAACAACGCGAGTTACTATCAGAATCTCAATATTTATTCAAGGTATACTAAGAAGCTTGAGTTTTTCCCTCCGAGGCAAGCAAACGAAAACCACATCGTGAAAAGGAAACATTAGACTAACGACACAGACGCCGCTTATAAATAAAGCACTCCAAGCTGATGATATCGAAACGCTAATCCGCGCCTCACCATAAGACTCAGAAAGAATGTGGAAAAATTAAGTCATCCCCTGGAAAGTGAAAGGAACGATATCGTAACAGTCACTAATCGTATATTCTTTTCCATGCTATGAGCAATATGCTGTTTACTATTTTATGCACCTAAATATACAGCATATGGAAGAATAAAATTACACTAGGTGATGTGCTTAGAGAATAGAAAATAGGAACAGGTTCGTAAACGAGAGGAGGTAAGGTGCAATGCCGTAGCATAAATTACTCTTACGAACAAAGAGCTCCCCTTATCTAGGCTAACTCTGAAAAAGCCCGTAGTTCTGAGTCAAGTCTAAGTTAACGTGCTTATGTATCCCTAAAAATCACAAGATGCACACAACGTCTCCACATTTCAAAAACATTTAAAAAAGTGACTCAATAGAAGAAAACATAACTGTTAGGTTCTGACAAGGAAAAGAATAATTTCTGACACTGAAAGTTTTACGGCTACTAGGTATAAGGTCATTCGGTGTTCACAGTTCCTTTACGGCTACATTCCAAATGGAGAGAAATGGCGAAAACAGGACTTAGAAATAAATTTCGTTTATCCAGTAAGCGTGACAAGCAAAACTGAACCCGAACGCAGAGTACTTCTGGTTAGTAAGAGAGAAACACTCGCCGATCGTCGCTTGTATGGAGGCCTATTCCAATCGGCAAGAGCTATCACAGTGTCATTGACGAAATCACTAGAGGTAGCAGAATCGGTTGGGGAGACCTCAGCTTTAAAATAAAGCAAATATTTATTTGTTTACCAGCCACGTGCGCGTGTGCCAAAACGATTTCTTCGATAAAGACTCCCTAAGGACACTACAAACTAACCAAAAAGATTCTCTGACATCTTTCTTGAGACTTCGAAAGTTTACAGAGAGTAAAAAAATCGCAGCGGCTTTACACTGATTCTGGACACATTACCAGTGTGGAACAAGTAAAATTAATCTTCCACGCTGATACATGCAGAAAATCGAAAATAATGTCTAAAAGTCTTACCAGCATTGACGCAGGCCGTGGTACATAAATGTTAAAAGGTGAAAAATTCGGACTGGTTGGCATCGCGAGAGCCGCCGACTGCAAGAACTGTTCAGCTCTAGGAGCATATACCGGCGGGGCCTCGCCGTATGTGCCGGGTACCGCCATGTCGCTCGCAAAAATTGGCGGCTGATGGTAGCCTTAAAAGGGAAGTCAAGTTTCTAACATGCAACGGAAAAGACCTGCATGACGTTGTTTACATAAGGATTACGTAACTTCCTTTTTTCACATCGCTGCGTTTGTCACATCGTTAACACCATAACATAAATCACTTGACTTACTTCACTTATCGAATTTCGCAAAAGATTACGACATCCTCCTGTCAATTGTCACCATCTGCCATTATATTCCGTCCTGTGTAATATCCGATACGTTTGCAAGCCAATTCTTGTGTCAGGCTTGGCTTGCAGTTTTGTTACTATCGTTGCCATACTTCTTTTCGCATAACACCCTTTTTTCGAGAAACTTAACCACATCACTAACGGTGGCTTTCCAGAACAAAAGCGTGCCTTAGTTTATGGCTTGAGTGTAACTGTTAACGAATCACACTTTTTAACCATTGCGGAGAAAAAGAAAATTTGGCATATACAAAAAGCAATAGCAGAACAGAACAGGCAGAAAAGAGAGTAACAAGGAACCACAATTCATTAAAATGGCACAAATCTAGAGATAAACTAATGCGAACGCACTTTTATAACTCTCTGAGAACCATGGAAATCGCACAAACCGTGAGAACTATAAGACGGTGAATATATTAATTACTCATATTTGTAAACTAACTCCGCCATGGCCGGTCCCAAGCCCGGATGAGAAAGGAGGAGGGTTGGAGACCGTGGCAAGTCT